CGAGGTGCGCGTCCTAAATGTAAGTGAAAGTGTGAGTACCCAGTGGATTTATTGACAGTAGACATGAGGTTAAATCTGACGCGCGGTAGCGCATTTACCCAGCCGTTTTGGTGACGGTCTACGAAGAATCTTAATGCTTCGTTGATACTTTTGTTGGTACGTTCGCTTGATCCGTCTGTTTGCGGGTGATAGGCTGTTGACATTTTGAGCTTTATTCCCGTTAGGCGATGCAAGGCTTTCCAAAACTTGCTGGTGAACCATTTGTCGCGGTCGGAGACGATGCTGAGAGGCAGGCCGTTCTCACAATACCACCCATTGAAGAACAAGTTCGCGATCTCCGGAGCAGTCATGTTCATCCGGCACGGGATGAGTCGAATATCTGCACCGAGCCTATCTGTGATCGTCATGATGGCATCGTATCCGTGCTCGACGGGAAGGGGTCCAATAAAGTCAATCGCGACCGAATCCCCGCGATCGTCTGGCACCGGTAACGGGTGGAGTGGACCTGGAGATTTAGTAGTTTTGCTTTTGTTTCTCGCACAATCTGGGCACGCAGGAATGTAACTTTCTTCCAAGTCCCTCCTCATGTTTGGCCAATAGAACGATTCTCGAAGAGCGGCGTACGATTTGTCAACTCCGCAGTGACCCAGATCATCATGTGCCAACCGGAAGACGGTTTCGCGTAGGTGAGTGATGCGTGGTATTACGAGCCTGTTATTGATGTAGAGTAGTCCATCGCGTTCTTGCAGTCCTGGAAGGGAGCCTGTCAGTTGAGTGAGTCTTTTGCACCAGTGATCACTTTGGTAGCCGTCTTTGATGTCATTGAGTAGTTTGTTGTCAGAGGTGATGGAAAGGACTATTGCGACGGGATTTATGTTGTTTCCGATGTTCGACGGCATGTTCATGGTATCGCGAGTGTACGATGGGATGTCGTCTGTGTCTGCTGGCAATCGGGAGAGTGCGTCGGCTACCGTGTTTTGTTCGCCGGGGATGTATTGAATAGTGAAATCATATTGAGCAAGAAATTCTTGCCACCTTGCCTGTCGACGGGACAGCTCTTTTTGAGTCATGAAAATTTCCAAGGTACGATGATCCGTGTAAACGGTGAACGGCGTCCCGAGTAATTCCACGCGCCATTTCTTCAGTGCTCGGACAATTGCTAGGAGCTCTTTTTCGTGTACAGGGTAGTTTAGTTGTGCATCCCGAAGTTGCATGGAGTCGAAAGCTACGGGTCGTGCGGTCGTTTGAGTTGGTCCAAAGCTTAACATTCCACCAGTTCGCCAGTCGCTGGCATCACACGTCACGTAGATGTGGTTGTTACCCAGATCATCGTGGTCGATGGTTGTCAGGCAGTCTCGGCTGACGACGAGTCTTTTTATGCCGTCGAAGGCTTCTTGGTGACGTTTGGTCCATCCCGGCCATTGAAGGTCCACACTTTTCATTGTGAGTGGTGTGAGGATGTGGGTATGGTCCGCAAGATTAGGTAGAAATTGTTCGAGGTATCTGACGAGGCCGAGGTAAGAGCGTACATCATTCGCTGACTTCGGAACAGGCCAGTCGAGGATTCGTTTCACCTTCGATGCGTCTGCTTCGATTCCGGAGGCCGAGATATGATGACCGAGAAAGTCAATTTCTGTGCAGAATAAAGATGTCTTTTTTGGAGAGCAGAATAGACCAGCCTTTCGTAGTGCATCGAGGACGAGTCTCACGTTTTTGACATGTTCCGCGACTGTTTGTGACCATATAATGATGTCGTCCAAGTAAGCGTGACAAATTTTTCCGATGAGGGGACGTAGTGCGATGTACATTCGTCGTTGGTGTGTCGCGGGAGCATTCCTTCCTCCTTGTGGCATAACTGTCCACTCGTGGAGACCTTTCGGTGTGTCGATAGCAGTATATTTAATGTCGTCGGGGTGTACACGTGTTTGAAAGAATGAATTCGTCATGTCTATTTTCCCGAAGATTTTTCCCTTGGCACAGTCTCGTAAGATTTCGTCGATGCGTGGGAGTGGATGGTTATCGGGGATTGTGTTGGCATTGAGCGCTCTGTAGTCATTCACCCAACGAGGTAACGCTGTGGGGTCCTTTTTTGGGATTAAAAAAGCAGGGGAGACGAACGGGCTTGACGAAGGTCGGAGACGGCCTGCTGCGACGTGTTCATCGAGGAGTTGTGTCCAGGCTTCTCTATATTTTCGAGGTGTGTTGTAACGTCTGCATTGGATTATTTTGTTCGGGTCCTTTAGTCGAATTCGGTGAACGACTTCCGTCGGTAGATGGTCGATATGAGGAATATCAGACGGGAATCTGTCCGCATATTGTCGACGGATTTCGGCATCGAGACGCTCGAGTTGCTCTTTGTTCTTTTCGATGAAAGCTAACAAGTCGATTCTCTCACGTAACACACTAGCAACATGTGGAGAAGTCGAAGTCGTGTGTTTTTCAAGGTCATTGTGACGTGAGGTGAGAACTGATCGAAGTTCACGAATTACATCTTTACGTAGTCGTAACGTGTCTCGGAGTGAAGGAATCGGAGTATGTACATGTTGGATGCGTTTCGGTGGGTTTAGAAGGTCATAGTCGGAATCTTTGTTGGTGCAAGTGCGAAGCTCGTGATCTATAATGAGGCAATTATGTGATAAGAATGGTCCTCCGAGGAGGAGGGGTACAACAAGGTCTGGTGCGATGATTGCACGTATCGTACGTGATTGCCAGTCATGGTCAAGAGAAGAAGGAGACAAGAGGACATATTCGGAAAAAGACAGAGTGGAACTCGAAGAATTAAGAAATGCAGAATTTGCCTGTATCGCGGCATGTAGTTTGCGTCTTCGCAAGCCGAGTTTGTTCACGACATCGTCGTTAATAAGAACTAGATGTGACCCATGGTCAATTAACGCGTCTATGCGCTCAAATGAATTGGAAGAAGGCCCCGTCAAGAGACAAGGCCATGTAAGGTGGGCAGTTTCAAAAGGGGCTACGCACGTGTCATCTTCGGAGTCTGATACATCCTCGAACACGTTGGAGGGCATAACGGCAGCTATGGGAGCGATTGCGGCAACGGTTTTGCTCGGTTTGTCTCCCTTTTGCTTTGCCGCGGTAGCGTCAGTCTCCGTCAGCGTTTTGTATGATGAGGCATCAGGTGCGCCATTGGGACACTCCTTGGATCTGTGCGATACGTAGAATCTGCGACATTTAAAACAGCCACTGTGTTCTGCGAGGAGGGTGCGTTCAGCCACTGTGAGAGCTCCGAGACGGGGTGTAGATGTATTTAGAGGCACGCGGGAGGAGGATGATGATGTTTTCGTAGAAGTTTGGTTATAGGATGTCGTGCGTTTGGATTTGTAGAAGTCTTCAGCGAACTTCTTGTGCATGGCGATGTCTTCAAGACGTTTGTCGTCGAGGTGGCGAACCTCTTCAATCCACGCCTTGAGTGTAAGTGTCGAGGGTAGTTTCGCTCGGAGTACGGGCGTCGTGAGATCGTCGCACAAGTTTGCTTCTAGCTGGTTTCGCAGCTGCGTGTCGTCAAGGTGGGCAGGGTTACCGTACAAGAGGGCATTTTGATTTTGAAGTTCTAATGCCCATTCGTAGAATGGACGGGAGCATTGTTGTGAGCCCAATACCTTTTTCCGGAGTTTCGTGTCCCAATGTGTTTCGAGCCACGCATCTTTCAGCGCCGTCATATACTCATCGAAGGTCCCCGTATCTAAGGTATTTCGTTGTGCAAGATACCAGGTATGTAGGCGTGGGTCTAACATCCCAAACGCCACCATTTTAACTTGGTTCTTCTCTTCGATTTCTTTATGCATGAAATACGTGGAGCACGCATTCTCCCAGTCACGCGCGACTTCGGGGGTGAGTTCACCTGCGAGGAGTTTTGGTGGTTTACTAGGCGCTGGTTGATCTACCATGGCTGTTTTTGTCATGGTGCGGATAAGGTGGGGTATATGCGTTGACTCCGGTTCAGAATCTGAAGAGGAATCGTTAGAGCGCTTTGTTACGGCGGTAGTTGTTATCGGTGATGTATTATTCGAGGACAGGGGTGTTAATGGAGACGGCGGGGGAGACGACGGGTCAAGAGACGGTTGGGGTACCTTCGCGCGTGAGCGCGTGGTCAGGGATCGGGAAACGGTTGGGTTCCTCCGTGTGGAAGACAGGTTGACAGGTCAGGTGGTGGGCGGGGGGCCCTATGTTTTGAACGTGGTTGTTATCAACGGTTGTTGTCGATATTAAAAAAAAAGTGGAAGCCCGCCGTGGTGGCGGCGGGAAACACTAAGCAGATCAAACAAGGATTCATAGGACAAGACCGTGGATTTCAGAGCGTGATACAAATGAGCAGATGATAGTAGGTAAGAGACCTGAGTCTGATCTCGATGGCGTGAAACGTAGTGATATAAATGGGGGAACGTTCACGTGATTGTTGATGTTGTAAGCACTCGGCTTACAACATCAGAAGTTTTCGATGCCTTCATACACAGGTTGACAGGTCAGGTGGTGGGCGGGGGCCCTATGTTTTGAACGTGGTTGTTATCAACGGTTGTTGTCGATATTAAAAAAAAAGTGGAAGCCCGCCGTGGTGGCGGCGGGAAACACTAAGCAGATCAAACAAGGATTAATAGGACAAGACCGTGGATTTCAGAGCGTGATACAAATGAGCAGATGATAGTAGGTAAGAGACCTGAGTCTGATCTCGATGGCGTGAAACGTAGTGATATAAATGGGGGAACGTTCACGTGATTGTTGATGTTGTAAGCACTCGGCTTACAACATCAGAAGTTTTCGATGCCTTCATACACCTCAGTCTTTCGACTCTCGAGACTGAGGTATGATACCATTCATTTACATTCATTTACTACGATACTGACTACTCTAGTACTTACATACTCTCGTTATAGGTCAGCTAGTAGTCTCCCTAGTCTTTCGACTCTCGAGACTGAGTACTTACATACTCTCGTTATAGCACTCTCTCTTTTGATCCGTCCTTTCGCCCTTCGTCCGATAGTCGCTCAAAAATCATTAGCTGTCACCTCCGAGTCGATCGGTGCCGCGTTGCGCTCTTTACACCTATCCGCGATGATTTTCACCTCTACCAGCGGTTTGCTATACTCTTCTTTAAGGAACATCCGCATCTTCTTCCGAGCAACTTTGGTCATTTTATCGCCTTTCTGAATGCCTGGCGCGGATACTAATCAGTCAATCATTTTTTAGACATACAGCGGCACACGACGTACAGCCAAGAGGGCGCTTGATGTGTGAATATAACCGGTCGAGTGCTTTATCCCCGTGGGCCGTCAGCTCTTGCCAAGCGGATAGCCAACATAACATCGTCAACAAGCTTAGCGTACAGCTGTTGAGCATTGTAGCTCATTGCAAGCGGTTGCATGCCACCCACACGCAGATTTTCCGTGTTAGCCTTGCACATAGACTCTCGGATCCACAAAAAAATACTTGTATGTTGATGGTTACGCCAGTCAGTTGATTTCTAGTACGAGCGATAGATAATCTTTGTTCTCGTCAGCGGAATATGTTCTGCATATGACCTTGCAAGCAAGGTAAAATAATAATACAACAGTGGAGATCTTGAGGAATTACGGAGCATATTGTGCGAGTGCAGAACTTCAGTGTAACATCGGCAAATTCTGACCTGTGATGGTCATTACCTCTGCGAGCGGCTTGCTGCACTCTTCTTGGAGGAATTTCTGCATATGTCTTCGTTTAACTTTGCTTATCTGATCGTTTCCTTGCACGCCTGACATAGAGATCAGCCAATGCGTTGCGAGTGTAAAGTGGCGCAACGTACAGACAAGCGAGCGATTGATGCTTAAATACAACCGACCCAGTGCCTCGTCGAGTGCCGTCTCGCCCTTGTTTCTCGCTATACGGATCGCTGTTATAACTTGATTGACGAGTCCGGCAAAAAGCTCCTGAGCACGTTCTGGACTGAATCGCTCCTCGTTTAGGTCCTGACAAGATCTTCGGTGATCTTCACGAGAAGTTAGCAGTGATTATGCCCACCTTCATACGTCTGTACATTCCCGGACCAGACTCACTTGCCATACACTGGTAATGGTCCTCCAGCTCCTTACGGAGCAGACCCTTGAATGTTCCGCAGAACTCTCTACAACGGAACAGCTGGTATGTAAACGGATGAGTGTCAAAATATGACCTCACCTCTGCATTGCTAAAATGGCTGACAAATATGCCTCTCGTGCAGGATTTATGATGTCGCGAGGATGAATGAGATTGCATGCGTTATTGATGCGTGGAGCGATCGTTGTCATTCGTTGGGCTCGGTTTTCTGCAAATTTCTTTTAGCGAGAACTACCTCATTTCGCTCATGAAACACGTACTGATTGCTAGAATAGCTGAGTCCGTCTTACTTGAGACTGCCTAGAATCAAGTGGGTAGATCGTACATCATGTTGAGATAACTTATGGTGCTTACCACAATGAGCGACTGTAGTTCCGACCGGACGAAGTCAGTGAAAAAATTATGCCACACACTTTCCTTATGATCAAGATGTATATCTCTAGCACTGCAGAATTACAGACCTTGAGACGGCACCATCTAACATGCCATGCACGAGGTCCTCGTTGAGGTCTATGGATCCCCATTCACCTTCTCGGCGCATGAGTGCACGATAGCTGTGCCATCGGTATCCTGCTCCGAGTGTCTTGACGATATTGAGACTGCGCTTAGCTACCTATGATGCAGTTAATATTTCATCAGTATTACCCTCGAACGTGAGGCGCACCTTCTCGGCTTGAATTTGAAGAGCCTTCTCCAGCTCATTGATAGTCTCGTCCATCTTGCCTCCTGAATTCTTGCGAATCTCATCAACAGCCTTTTGCGCTCAATTATATTCACGCTATCAAGTGACATCAGGAGACTTACCTCTTTGAGGCCATCTGCCAAATCTCTTGCCACATTCTCATAGGCTATGAGCCTCAAATCCGACCTTGCAGAAAGGAAGAAACTCTCGATTTCTTCCCATAGCAAAGTGCAGTTATGTACGTGGGTCTTGATATCGGACAGTGTATTCCTGCGACCAAAATCATGAATATGCCGACGCAAATGTGGAATACCAGTCTACAAATATCATCAGCCTTTTCTGCCTGGTCAGAGGCACAACGTACATCTTCAGCCGTGGTAAAAACCAAAGGGGCTCTGTTTCGTATATTCGCTCCCGTAAGTTGGTTGAAATCCGTGCTTCCAATACAAAACACGGGTAGCGGAGGGGGTTCGCAGGCAGAGTTCTAACCCAAAAATCATTTCACAATGATACCCTTCAAAAGTTACTCGAAGTACCTGTTCATTAATATTGCAGTATATTTGACGGTAGAGCTGTATAAAGACTTCTCGTACATGAGAAGATCGTTGGTGCTGACCAAACACATGCCAATGAGCAGATTTCAGAGTATTATATGGATATACACACTGCGATGTATGCGTTTTTGGCAGCTGTTGCCCGTTGCAATTGATCAGCTGTCCGTTTGTGCTGCATTGTAAATTCAGTCAAACACATTGATGCATGAGTAGAAGTCAAACCATTTTTCCATCACACCATTCTCGCTTCAGTAATTCAATATCAATTCCCGCCCCATCGCAACTCCGAGTTTTGTCGATCTCCATACGGAGTATGCCTAGTTGTTTTTCTTGCCTATCTAGGTTGTCGCTGAGTTTGTCGATCTCCTATGGCATGCATTAATGCCACAAAGCCAATACGAACTTGAAACCTAGCTTGTGCACCTGATGCATTTGCTGGATTATGCTTCGTTGATTTGAGTCTAGATTATGCAGCTGGTCCTCATCGATTCGCACCTGGTAATTATGTGAGGTGGACAGACCAAGGAAACAAGAGTGGTGACTTACATCCGTGCCAGTAAGAACGATCATAAATGACTCCATGCTTCCGTCTATCCGGATCATTTGATGCAAACTACGATGTGTGAGTATACAGTTCCGAAAAGTTGTTGGGACTTACAAATTTACGAAGTAGTCACGCATGGCCTAACAATGTCATTAACTGTTAAGTCAAGTCAGACCAGAAATTTAGTCGATCTGACCTGGTCATCAGCTGCCCGCTTGATGTCTGCCACTGATACAAATATTGAGTGCAGTGAGACGAGGCACCACATTCGAACGGCGAACCTAATATAACGACTTCAGCACTTTTGAGGTATTCCTCCGTCCGCCTAGTTCTGCAAAGATACGGTCAATGTGACGAAATTCTGACATGTATTTACACTGCACTCAAACCTCGTTTTGTTTGCATCTCCATAACCAGGGACATCCACTAGCATAACTGCACCAGATGCAAGTACATCGAATGCTCCATAAATACGAACACTAAACGCAAAAGTAAGCAAGCAATCATGCGAAAAGCGCTCATATTTCTACCTGTGTACTAGATGCCACTCCAACTTGGAGGACCGCAGATAGTCAGCAAGATCATCCACATCAAAACTAGTGACGCACTGGTTTTCCTTCCACAACCTTCGTGTTCGCACTCATATAGGGTCGGAGCTGTGCATGGTTTAGTCACGCTAACAAACTGCAATGTTCAATTCCAACTTTCCTGCGACTCTAGATTGTCAAAGCCTACACCGTTCCTCTGAATTTCAGTTCCGAGCTTGGTTGCTATGAACTCATCCTCAAGAAGTACACGAATATTTTGTTGAGGTGGGGGGAATGATAGCGCACGAAGGCTGTGGCAATAATCAGACAATGGGGGATCGAGATTCAGGTTGAACTTACTGAGGATACACCTGTATCAGCAGCAACAAGTCACATCAGCACCCACGTGATAGTACCGAAAAAATAATTATGACTTTCCTGTTTCAACGTCTCCCATGCATCCATCGCAGGCCGACTATCATCGTGAATACCATACCCCTTGTTCGAAGCGCCATACACATCCCTGCGTGAAGATGGTCAGCTTATTTAATGGGGAAGCGGATCTTCTCAGTGAATCATATATACGTACAGGTCGTCCAGTATGTTTAATAGAGTCTGGAATACACGATGGTCATCTTCGCACGCATGTCCGAGTCCGGGCCCGGGCCAAGAGGACTCACTTTTTTCCATTCATCTTTTTCAACGAATTTGATGCTTGCTCTCCATGTTGAAGGAGGCAAGTCTTCATAACATACTTCCGTCTGGACAGAAGTACATGCCCTGCAATAAAAGTGTCAGGATATCAATTGAGACGGTCAAGGCAGTGGATTTGTTCCTGACCCCTGCGAGTCAAAATTAGTTTGAAGCTCGACAGTTGCAACTGGTATGTGTACTCACATCAGCTCGAGTGGACAACAAAGGCGCACCTAGTATTGCATTCATGGCTGTGCTTTTTCCAGCTCCAGTTCTTCCAATAAACGCCATCTTCCTCGTCCCAGGTTTACTGTTGCCGAGTTTCTGTGCCTCTTTCTTCCATCCTCGTAGGTCCTTGTCATATTCCTCCCGGAGTCCTCCTAGACCAACATTTTCAAGTTCCAACTCCAATCTTTTATTCGTGCCACAGATTATCTCGTAGCATTTTTGCAGGTCTTGCGGTAATAAGCTGTCGCAGCTGCGTGTCTCGGTTTCATGATGAAAATCGAGCTGTTCCGAGTCCGGCGCTTCAAATTTTTCCATGGATGGGTTCAATGTTGGTGGGTTTCAAGTTGAAAAGTTGGAACTGAGCGCTAAGCCCCAACCGAAGTACCTCGTCCTCATGGCAAGGCGGAGGTTGTACGGATTCGAAGACCAATTGACTTGATTTCTCATCAACATACTTCAGGGGGTGTCGAACAACTTTTAATAACTCCGAGTTCCCTCAATCACCTTCAGACACGGGTTCCATCAGGAAAACCCTCTGATACAAACATATACTAAGTATGTCAAGATTAATAAAATTTTCTCTAATTCATTGTAGTTTCACAAAATTAGACGTCTTAGCAGATTAGAGAACCTTTTTTACTGCCCCACCAGATCTTACTCCTGCGCACTAATTTATTGATGATTTTAAATAAATTCACAAACTTACAAGTCATCAAGGATCTTATTTTGACGGTCTGTTCAGGATTTCATTGATTTCATTCAAACGTTTTAACTTACTCCTGCGCACTAAGTTAGTGATGATTTTAAATAAATTCACAAACTTACAAGTTATCAAGGATCTTATTTTGACGGTCTGTTCAGGATTTCATTGGTTTCGTTCCAACATTTTACAAGAACAAATTAAGTTTTCATTAAAAGAGGGGTATATCAGCATAGCTTGTAGAATATGAGACAATAAAGGAGCGTTGAGAATGATATACGTGAATGCAATTATATAAAATGATGAGACCGCAACTTGGAAATCTACTCCTCGTCATCCATGCCAGCAATATCGAGGAAAGCCATCGCAGACTCGTGTGATCCAACTAAAGCGTTGTTGCCATGGGTGCAGAGTTTCCTTGTGAGGTGTGAGACTTGGACAGATGAGTTGGCGCAGCGCAGAAATGGACTCACTGGATAGCCTCGAAAATGTCAGCCATCATCTTGTGAAACTTGCGCGGCGCTGTCACCTTCATGTCTTCAAGAAATTTCACATGAAAAAAGTAGACCTCGCTGAATAGATTGCCAGTAAAATTGAATTTCGATGGAGATCCATTAGCCTTCCAGAAGAGTGCAGCATACACCTATACACTCATTGTTAGTACATGCACTCGGACCCAGAGTATGTCAATAAATATACCGAAGTACTCGTTAAGGCGACCATTGGAATTGTAACTTCGGGCCGCTGGGCCTTGTTTTGCGCAATCTCCTTGAAACGGTCTGAAAATTTCATGCCAACTGACTTTAGCCCATTGAAGTAGCGCCCCTTCATTAGATATGGTAAGATATCAGCGAAGTATGGCTTTTTTGGCTGTGGAATGGGGTCGTTCTTCTCCTGGAGAGTGTGCACAGTGTTGAGCAAATCAATTTGTGCAACCCAGAACATAGCCACCTACATTGAAATGCTGTTCATAATGGTAGACGTGGTTGACCAGCAAAGCCTTCGCAGTGTCGACACAATCAGGGCCAAGACGATAGTATGACGTCACTTGAGCACAAGCGTCGTCTTTTAATTCAGTGCGGAAAAGTGGCACTCGGGCTTCAATCTGTATGAGAGGTTCAACCAATTAGTAATATTGCGAAGAGTCCAACTCTTGAGCATACCAGCGTGGCGAGAGCTGTCACATACGAGTCATCAGACTTGAGGCGATCCTTGATGGGCAGGACACTGCAGGCGCGAGCTGCTGTTAAGAGTGCGTCCCGCGTAAACAGGCTCTTCTCGGTGAGCTCCGGATAGCCGTTGACAAATGTCAAGTGAACTTTTGCCTCCAAGATCGCTCTTTGGACCACACGACGGGTGTCAATATCTTGGTCCATCAGCTTCAACTTACCAGTGTCTGTCCATACAAGTGTGGGCCTTCTAGAGTGATCTGGGTTGTCCTCCTCGGAGTCGTCTAACACCATGATGGGCTCATGTTCCTCATCTGACACGACGACTTGAGTATCTGCCCAAACAGGTGTCTGGAGAGTCCAAAACATCATTCGAACACGAGATAACTGTGAGAGAACTTTCACTCACCTCATCTGCTCGTTTACGATCACGCGCAGACTTAGATTTTGTTTTCTGAGGGGTATTATTATTTCAACATGGAGGTAAGTATCCAAGCCAACTTACCTTGGTAGCCCTTGGTTGAGCCGACGGAAAGGGGAATGGTTGAGCCGCCCGCATCAGCTCCTTCGAGGTAGTTGTACGAGGCCAGGTGGGTTGGGTCAAAGGGAGGTCAGTCTGTTCTGCCTTCGACCTCAAAACAAACACTGGTGTCTGAGGGAAATAAATTGAAGGTACAATCAGTTACTACTATGAACAATGTCACTTACTTCGGCTGATAAGGACTTGGGCTCCTCCAAGTCGTCTTCAATTTCCTCCTCCTCACTGTCCTTCTCCGAGTCATTGTGACTAGGTCGAGAATCAGAGATCTCATCGACAGGTTCGTCGCTTGAAAATTCATTGTCGATTGGTTGGGAGGTGTGTGACCATAGTTCCTTTTCTTTTCCTGCAAAACCTGTGAGTTTGCTGAACCGACAACTAGACACCGTTATGCTAACTGACCTTTCTTTTGCGTGTGCTTGACAGCGCTCATGAGGCCTTCATCGATATCGACATCGATATCGGAATCTGCATATGGTTCGGTGACTGTACCCGGCCCCCAAAGATTAGTCATCATGGAATCAGTCCGGATCAGTGCTCACCTCGGCGCTTCTTAGTATTTGCTTTTCCTTTAGATGTTTCACCCACGACTATGTACCCATGTAAGTGTACTGAGACCCTGGACTCGGTTCAGATACTTACCTCGACGCTTTTTAGCTGCAAGCCCTAGGATCTCATCTGGGGTATCGGGCCGACTACTAGTAACTTGTGCTACACCACCATCGTGGCGGCCATGCTTGGTTACAGACACGTGAGCTTTCCTTTGTGCAGTTGTTTTCTTCATCACAGTGGGCTTTTCTGGAGCTGGGCGCTGCCGCTGTGGTCTTGTAGTCATCCAGACTAGTACAATATCCAGTAAGTGCTCAAATCTCAACTGGTTCAACCACGTACTGACCTGCATTCTCCATAGCTCTTTTTTTTGCACCTCGTTCACCTGTTGCAACAACAGGTATTCACAGTTGTTTGTATCTGTTATAGTGGTAAGTACTTACTCCTGGCGGGCTGACTGGAACCTGTATTATTGCTGGGTGACATGCTAACTTGAAGGGTATGGTAAATGAGCGGGTGGGTTTTGAAGTTGTAAATAATGTAACGGGGGGATAGCTAATTGCATCCCACCACTGAGTACTGATATTTATGTATCTCGCAGGGACGGTGTCATCGCCACTGGGCAAAACCAACTCACATATGCACAGGTTCCAAAACGAGCATGGTTTTTGGGTGTCCCTTTTGGATTAGTCCAGGTCCATAGCCCAAGCGCTCTACTGTGCCGGGTTATGTAATATGGTTCGACACGTCTAGAAATGTTTTACAGCTGTAATTCATTGTAAAATAATCTAATAGAAAGTTTGCATGCAATTTATGTCCGAGTGTGAGTTTGTGACGGCCCTGTGCGAGCATCTATTTCACCTCAGTCGAACATCTGTTTGCCTGAAAACGAAACACAGAGAAACGAACAAACGCACAAATGCACAGACACGAACAAAACGCACAAAAGCGAACAAAACACACAGAAAAAAAGGTTGCGGAACGGGTCCATAGTATGATAGTACAATAGACGTGATCATGTACAAACTAAGCTAAAAAGTAATGCGATATCTACTGCACCCCAGCCATCATCATCATGTCGAGTTGAGCTAATACATTAGTCGATCGAACCTGCGAGTCCCCAATGCTTAACATATGAGATTTCCGATAGTCGAACGCAATTCTCTGGACACCGTCCATGTTGCCAATGTAGCGCACAATGTCCTCGAATGTCTCACTCCCTTCGTGTTGCGTGAATGGCAGGATGACTGGTGGATGGGGAATCTGCTCCCGCAGCAGCTAATTTCACAGCTGCACCAATAGCACCAAAGGCGTAGTTGAGTTGTTGATGTCGATGTAACGCCGAGGTGGAGAGGAATTGTGAGATACCGAGGTCGCTACACCATATGAATTGAACGGCAACATGAAAAATCAGGGGATTGTCGAGAACCCCGTCAAGTATGGTGACATGCCCGCTCTGAAAAAAGATCACAATTTGGTATTTAGAAAGAAAATTGAACGTACTGCGTCGACCGTAAACCTATTCATGAAGGCCAACGGGTTACGAGTGTCGTTAATCAATGCGGTTATGACACGACCCCGAAATTGGACTGGTTGGAGATTGGACTCTAGCGGGGGGTAGAAAGTGTAGCCCAAGGCGAGACAACTCCGTACCATGTCCAATAGCTTCCGAAAACAGCCGTTCCAGGCGGCTGTCACCTGCTGACGTTCACTACTTGTCGTTCGGATTGTAACTACAATGAATCAGTATTCAACTCCGCAAATTATATGTAAACACGTACCATTCATACCTGGCATGGAAGACGACTCTGAAATCGCGAGAGAAACAAGCGCCGCCCTCTCACCATCAGTACCGGCCATTGCAGATGCCGTCAAGAAGAATCGTAAGATTCTTCTTTTTGCAGAATTGAGGATCTGTTTTTTGACAAGGGAATTGACGTTAATGAGGGCTGGTGTAGTTGGCTGCACAGCAGCAGGACCAGGAAAGATGGCAGGGGCCGCTGGTGCAACTCCGCTAGCAGTAATTCCTGGCTGCATAGCAACAAACTTGAGTGACAAAGGGACCAGTGTGCTTGGCCGTGAAGCAACAGGGGCAGCAATCGTGGATGGGATAGCGAGGGCAGCCATCGGAGCTGTTGGCTCAGGTGGCCGAAGGACCCTGGGTTCAGGTATGAAATATGGCGTGAAGGAGGGTCGAGGGCGATGATTTCTCTCAGGATGCTGTGACGACCCTGCCAGCATCTGGGGAACTGGCGGGTTGTATAAAGAGTCGAGTTGGGCGGAGTAAGGGATTACAGGGTAGACGTCATCACCGGCATCAAGTGGTTTGCTGGTGCTAGATGACGGCGCGGGGGGTGGAGCATCCATCTCGGGCGTGAGCAATTGTAGACTATTAGTTGTTGCATATGGATAGACACCATCACCAGCGTCAAGTGGTTCAAGTGTGCTAGACGATGGCGTGGGGGGTGGAGCATCCATCTCGGACGTTAGCGATTTTAGACTACTTGTAGTCGTTGCATATTGTGGGTCGGTCATACGGAGGAACCTTGAAAGTGGGTCCCCCTCATCATCTGCTTCAAGTTGATCTGTCAACAAGCGACTAGTGTATTACTGGCTTGGGTACTCACCGTTTAAATTCGGATTTCTATCTGCATAGTCTGACAACGAGAACCTGTCTTGAAGCTGGCCAGGGAAGTGTGGATATTCATTGTCATCCGGCGGCTGCATACTTTGCTGGAAGCAAATACTGGCAGTAGGAAACAAGGAGATGCGAGATCACGGCGAGAGAGCTGGCATAACGTGCCAGAAACATGTAGAATCCTGATACATAATGAAGACTCAATAGAATAGAGCCGAGCCAGTGGTCATATAATCGCGATCCGATACCTAGCGGTCCTAATCATGAGAAGAGTGATATGCTGCTATCAGTAGTGTAAGACTGAGCACGACTATTTCACGTACAATGACAGATGGGGAATGGAGGCAAAAACTGAATTGACTCACGATGAGCATATCAGTTGGGCGATTAAACTGGGGCGTTCACGTTTGCAGCTGATTACAGATCGATTTGAAGCCTCGAGTCTATGGGCTTGGCGGGTAAGCGGCCTTACAGTTGCAATTGGGTAATACAAGTAGCCACAGATGCCGGAACATGCAAGAATCAATGACTTATATGGACTGTTTAAACGACTACATATATGGAGCGTTCAAACGACGACATATATGGCAAAAATCAACCGAGCCTTCCATACGCCAATTAATATGTATTGTATTGATGCCATCATAGATATCATGTTAATTCTTGTTTCAGGTGATAAGACGAGCAAGAGTGGAACAACACATGCATTTGACAGGTGTCTACAACATCGTAAGTGCATACAAAAATTCACAAATCACCATGAAGTAATAGATACCTCCACATCAATAATGATCACGAGAAACAGATATTGAACATAAGACAAGAAGAGCGATTGGAGTGGTAAAAGGGAGCCTGCAACTTGCGATGAGTTGAATGGTAATACTTGAAAGGAGGATTTCCCATACCGCTGAAAGGGCGACTATCAGTCAGCTGACAACCTAGAGCCTGCGCCTTCACCTGAATCCTCAGAGTCATGATCCGAATCATCTGGGGGCAGGTCTGCGTAAGACCCATCACTCAAATCTGGATCTGAGTGTTCAGAGGGTTCCCTAGTGCCGATGCAGGAGAGTCCACCATTAGGGTGAAGAGGAAATGCCGCAGCAGGTTTCAAAAATGCATGTTTAACACGTGAATTGAGGAGGGTTGCAACCTGGTCAGTTTGGGCACTAGCGACGCGGAGGATCTCGCATTCGTCTTCAAAGACAGCTTGAAGATATTTTCTATCATCCTCAAGTTCCGCCTGCCCACGCTGTGAAAAAATCCTCCTAAAGCCGTGCAATTCCCCATCCGCCATCTTGAACCGTTGTTCGTTTTCACCATAGATGGCAATGAGGAATTCTTCATACTGTGCAGCCTCGTCAATTTCCCACGTCGCCAACACCATGCGTTGGCGCGCAACCTCGCGACTTGCGAGCTTGGCCTTGTATCCTTTGTACAAGGTTGCAGTCGTCATTTGAGAAAGGCCGCTCTCCAACTGTTCTTGAAACTTTCAGACCACATCAATGAGTTATCAATGTCTAGAAGTAAATATGGCATACCTTCTGTGTTGCTTCCAACGAGAATTCTGGTTGGAATTTGGACTTCATCATCCGAGCTGCATAACGAAGCTCCAATGGAGCTGGATTGGGGGGGTATGGAAAATGTTTCCTTGATGTCCGAGACTTTGATGTTTTGTCATGTGTAACAAATGTGCTCTCTTTCGCTTCAGAAGGCGTAGGTTTGCCATCCTCTGAAAGGCTTAGATATGAGGCATGTAAATCTGTATTCATCGTAATTGAAGAGCCTGATCGTTGGCTTGAATTACAGAGAGTCGGACTAGGGCAGTCAGGAGAAGACAGAACAGTGGGACTGCTCATTCGAGCAGGAGATAAAGGCGGACTATTTGATTTAACAGGAGACGAGGCTGGTGAGCTGTCCATCTTATTGTGCGAATCTTACCCTGGAACTTTGGCAATGTATTATTGATATCCGGTATCGGAGCCTGAAAAATGACATAGAGGAGATAGCATCTAGTATTAGTGAACATTCCCTCGTACCATTATGGTCCAATGCACAGGATGTTATACGACTTTTTCGGCCACTGGTTTAAGTCAACACTTAGCTAAAACCAAGAATCGATGCTGCATGGCTGTGCTCGCTGCATCACGCTCAAATGTCCACTCTCCAATACCAACTCCTTCAGATGATCTTGCGGACTCAGAAATCGAAGCTGATGATCAAGCACCTGCGAATGGAGGAGACTTTTTTGGTACTTACGAGGAAGATGAAATCCAATGGCCCGGTGACATGGAATGGTATGCTAACAGCAGTGAGAATAGTGACAGCTCGGACTCCGAGGATGATGTCGTACCTGGCCTCGATGATGCCGAATGGGAACCCCTCGTAACTGGAAGGGATTTAGAGGACCAACTCGGAACTGCCGAAGAAGACAGCACAGAGATGAATAGCCACAATCGTGATTTGCGTCAGCAGATTGAGCAACGCGTGCTTCAGGAAGATGCAATCACTATTGTGCAATACCCTGATGCTCGAGCAGGGCACCCCATTCCGCAAGCTGACATATGCAATGCAAACGCTGCATACGCTACTGTTATCAATGACACTGCAAATCCATATGCCCCCTTCGCCTCTCGAGTGGATTGGGAAATTGCACGATGGGCTAAATTACGTGGCCCAACTTCAACCGCATTTTCGGACTTGCTTGGTATCAGTGAAGTCAGTGAATGGTATTAATATCACCTTCGAGCTGTGGGTAATGTGTCTATCTTTGTTGACAGGTCCATGAAAAGCTTGGTCTTTCTTACAAGAACTCAAGGGAATTAAATAAGATCATCGACAAGCAGCTTCCTGGTCGCCCAAAGTTCAGGCGTGAACAAATTGTCGTCGCAGGCGAGGCTTTCGACGTTTTTTATAGGGACGTTATCGAATGTGTTAAGGCTCTGTATGGTGACCCAGATTTTGCCGATTTTCTAATCTTTGCACCGGAACGCCACTATGCAGATGAGGAACAAACTGTCCGATTATTCCATGATATGCATACTGGTAAATGGTGGTGGGATACTCAGGTAAGTTCGCATTTTGGGGACTTCTGCTCATCGAAAATAACTGACATTAAATAGAAAAAGCTTGATCAGCGCAAACCGGGTGCTACCATCATTCCAATTATTATTTCGAGTGACAAGACTCAAGTAACAATGTTCCGAAATAAAACGGCTTACCCAGTCTACCTTACTATTGGCAACATTCCAAAGGAAATCCGCCGAAAGCCATCTCGCCGTGCCCATATTCTTCTCGCTTATCTTCCTACTACCCGTCTCGAGCACATCACCAACCAGGCTTCACGACGCCGAACCATTGCAAATCTGTATCATGCCTGCATGGGCCGTGTCTTAGCACCACTGGAGGAAGCTGGCTTAGATGGTATTGTCATGAAGAGTGGCAATGGTATCCTGCGTCGCAGGTCATCCCTTATTTGCTTGCTTCGTTGGTGACTATCCTGAGCAAGTCTTGGTTACAGGAGTCAAAAACCACGGAATGTCCCAAATGTGACATACCACCAGCCGAACTCGGAAGCAATGCCCGCACCTTTCGAGATGCGCAACCTTGACGCTGTCCTCAATGCATTGGCTGCGATTGATAACGGAGATCTCGCATTTGTACATGCATGCCGCGAAGCCGGAATCAAGCCCATTATACATCCGTTCTGGGAGCCCCTACCCTATACCAACATCTTCCAAGCCGTTAACCAGATGTGCTCACCAATTATACCAGGGTCTTATCAAGCATCTCCTTGGTTGGCTGGCCGAGGCATTCGGAGCAGCTGAGATTGATGGAAGATGTCGAAGGCTCCCCCCAAATCACCATATCCGTCTATTTATGAAAGGTATCACTAGCCTCTCACAAATCAGTGGTACGGAGCATAGTCAGATATGCCGTTTTCTACTTGGGATCATCATCGACATCCGACTCCCCAACCGTCTTGCCCCAAGCCGTCTCATACGTGCCGTCAGAGGTCTACTTGACTTCCTGTACTTGGCGCAGTATCCTTGCCACAGCTCCGAAACATTGACTCTCCTCACAGAAGCTCTCGATCTTTTTCACAACAACAAGCAGATCTTCGTCGACCTTGGAATACGAAACAATTTTAATCTTCCAAAGCTCCATGCAGGCCGCCACTATATGTCGATGATCCAGACTTTTGGCACAACTGACAATTACAATACAGAATATACTGAGCGCCTCCACATCGACTTGGCCAAAGATGCATATCGTGCAACAAACCACAAAGATGAGTTTGTTCAAATGACTCAGTGGCTTGAACGCAAAGAGAAGATCGCTCGACATGAGAGACATGTCATGTGGCGCCTCCACGGCAATCCCATTCGACACCAACCTCGTCCAGCAAACCTGTCTTTCGACCGGGTTCAAACATTAACGAAGCATCCTAGCATGAAAGCTGTGCCAATTCAGAAGTTAATCACGGAGTATGGGGCCACGTACTTCCGTGAGGCGCTTGCAAGATATGTTGCACAGCTGCTCATCCA